TTTTATGTCAGTCTGATTGGACCACAGGGTACACAGATATTTAGTTAAACATTATTCTGGATGTTTCTATGAAAGAATTTTAGATGAGATTAACATTTAAAGATTTATTTATTTATTTTAGAGAGGGGAGGGGCATAGGGAGAGGGAGAGAAGCAGATTCCTCACTGAGCATATAGCCTGATGTAGGGCTTGATTCCATATCCTTGATATCATGACCTGAGCTGAAATCAAGAATCAGATGCTTGGGGTCCCTGGGTGGTCTGCTTTTGGCTCAGGCCATGATCCCGGAGTCCTGGGATTAAGCCCTGCATCGGGCTTTCTGCTCAGCAGCCCTCTCCCCCTGCCTGCCACTCCACTGGCTTGTGCTCTCATTCTCTCTCTGTTAAGTAAATAAATAAAATTTAAAAAAAAAGTCAAATGCTTAACCAACTGAGCTACTTGGACACTGCGAGAATTTAACATTTAAATTGGTCATCTGAGTAAAGCAGATTGCCCTATCTGATAGGGTAGGTGGGCCCTATCTGATCAGTTGAAGGTCTGAATAGAACAAGTCTTCCCTTCCTACAAGTAGGGGAGAATTCTCCTGCTTGATGGCCTTTGAACTGGGACATTGGCTCTGCAGATTTCAGACTTGCCAGCCTCCATAATTGCATGAACCAATTCTTTATAATAAATCTCTACTTCCATCTTTATCTCTATCTCTGCATTTGTGTCCACATGTCTCCTAGTTACTCTGTGTCTCTGGAAGACTCTAAAGCACTGGTCTTATGTTATGTAGTTGAAAATCTGGAAACTTGGAGAACTGATATATTTTCAGTCATCATATGCATAATATAGCCATTGTAAAATATGTAAGAATAAAAAGTCAGTCACACTCTCACTCAACCCTTCTTAAAACTCTGTTTCTTTATCAAAAGTTTACTGTCATGATTGTTTTCCCTTGGGTATATTTCTCTGCATTTACAATTATTCAGAGAACATAAATTCACACACTTAGTTCTGTCCACCTAAACAGAATTATATTATGCACATTGCCTTGTGAATGTCTTAGACCTTTTTTTTTAAAAAAAGACTTAAATTATTTGACAGAGAGAGACACAGGGAGAGAGGGAACACAAGCAGGGGCAGAGAGAAAGGGAGAAGTAGGCTTCCCGCTGAGCAGAGAGCCCAATGTGGGGCTCGATCCTAGGACCCTGAGATCATGACCTGGGCCAAAGGCAGCGGCTTATCTGACAGCCACCCAGGTGCTCTTGTCTTAGAGCTTAATGTGTGTATATATACATTTGTCTTATTCTTTTACTTTATTTTTTAAAAGAGAAATCTTTATTTATTTGAGAGAGAGCAAGAGAGAGCGAGCACAAGTGGGGTGGGGGTGAGGGAGAGAATCTCAAGCAGACTCCCTGCTGAATGTGGAGGCTGATGTGGGGCTGGATCTCATGACCCTGAGATCACGACTTGAGCCAAAATCAAGAGTTGGATGCTTAAATGACTGAGCCACTCAGGCACTCCATCTTACTCTTTTTAAAGGTTTCTTAATATACTGTAGTATAGAATCAATACACCATTTTCCCCCAACTCTTTGCTACTAATTACCATTTTGGCTATTTCTAGTTTTTTACTGAACATCGCTGTAAGGAAGAATCTTACCTATCTTTGGGCATTTGTGAAAGTGTTTTTGGTGCATTAGAGTATTTCTGTTGGATAAATTCAAAGAGGGGGACTTGCTAGGTCAAAGGGCATGGGTATTCATGTGTTAATGATTGTTGGGGTGGCTGGGTGGCTCAGTTGGTTAAGTGCCTGCCTTCAGCTTGGGTCATGATCCCAGGGTCCTAGGATTGAGTTCCGCAGGAGCCTGCTTCTCCCTCTGCCTATCCCATTTCCCTCCTCATGCTGTCTCCCTCCCTCCCTCTCTCTTTCTCAAACAAATAAATTAAATAATAATAAAAAAAGAATCGTTTAAAAAATTGTTGTTTAAGTGCCTTCTAATGAATGATCAGAACTAAAGGTGGTCCTAGGGACTCCAAACTTATAACTGGTTGACAAGTGGGTGGTCTGGGGGACTCGTGAACTTTGCAGTTGGGCTATACTAGAATAACTTTGACTCAGTGAAAGATGATGGAAGTATGATTTGAGAAAAGGAAGGATGAGAGGGTGGGGGTTGGTGAACATTCAATTCCTGGATGGCCACTGACTTTTCAATGTCCCCGACTTACAGAGACCTGGAGGATATGCATGGAATGTGGGGCTATGGGAGTCTCTGCGTTTATGTGGGCTTTGTAGGGTCTTGGGTGTTCATGCTAAAGTGGCTGAATTGCACAGAGGGACCCTCTGTACAAGGACCCTGCAGGGCAGGATATGAATCCCACGGAGGTAGGATCATCACGCCTTAGCTCACCAGAGTATCTCATGATATGCTTTCTTTAGGGAAGTCATTCATTCTTTCAGCACTCAACACTCTGTAACCAACTACTAAGCACCACACACCCGGCCAGGTTCTGGAAACACTAATGAGAGCACAGACTTCATGATGAAGCGGTCAGGGGCGGGCAGGGCAATGTGTAGACTGTAACTGAGCTCAAGAGGTTCACTGCTTGGGGTGCATGAGATGGAATACAACCCAAGGAAATGTTGAAAGCGAAGAACTTTTCATTACTTATTATAAGTAAGGAGACAGGGAAATAGCTCTCAATGTGCTGCCTCCCATGGGGTTAGTACAGGAAGCTTTCATTCAGTGCATTAGGAGACAGGAGCTCATTCAATGTGTTAGGAGACAGGAATGGGGATCTTACAAAAGCAGTCTGTTCAATTGCACAAGCCTAGCATGTCAGCATTCTGGTGCATACATCATACGTTCAAAAAGTGGCAGAAAACTGCCTGTAGGAGGAGATGTTAGTATTCTAATGAGCTGCTGTTAACTTCAGGACAACTCAGGGGGGCTTCTGCAAAGGTCCTCAATTCCAATCCAAGTCAATGACTCACATAAGGGGGTATCAGGGGGACACATCTAGCAAGGGGCTATCAGATGAAACATCTAATTGGGCATCTCTTTGGCTAGAACTGTTGGTTCTGCAAAACGAAACACATTCCTTCCTTGCTTTTGTCCCTTCCCCTCCTCCCTTTTGCTGATAGCTTTCAGCTCTCTTATTTGATTAACTTCCCGTTGCATTCTAGCTAACAAGACCACAAGACATAATGATATGTCTGCTCCCAGTTCAGTGTCCAGGGAATGGTAGGTATCCATGTGACGTGTGGAGAAAGGATAGAGCGGTGTTGGGGTCAGGATCAGTGAAGCAGATTAACAAATGTTTATTGGCTGCTTTGAACTGTTGGATTCGTCCTCTATCTTTCGTAGCAGGAAATATACCCTTACATAGTGCATTATGTCATGAGCAGTACTTCTCAAAGTCAAGGGCATGGCCAGATAGGCTCTGAGGAAGCTCCGCAGGGGTGAGGGACTGCCCCTTGGCAGAGCGGATAACCATGGAACCAGTGGGAATAAGTTATGCGGGACTATGTTAAGAAAAATAAAATGAAAAGAAGGAAAAGAGGGGCGCCTGGGTCGCTCTGTTGGTCAAACATCAAAGTCTTGCTTTTGGCTCAGGTCATGTTTTCAGGGTCATGAGAGCTAGGGTCCCTGCTCAGCAGGGAGTCTGTTGGAGATTTTCTCTCTCCTCCCTCTGCCCCTATCCCCACTTTCTCTCTCTCTCTCAATCAATCAATCAATCTTAAAAAAAGAAAAAGAAAAAGAAAAAGAAAATGGCACTTACTTGTGTCCAGAATTCTTTTTTGTGTGCACTCTCAGCTACAGTTATTGATTTGACCCTAAAAACGACCTTGTGAGGAACACAAGCCAAGGACTGACCCCACAGGCTCAGAAAGCAGCTTGTTAAGTCGCTGAACTGTCCCTCTAGTCTCCAAATCTGTGCTCTGTCCAGAGCACCCTGCTTTCTTCACTGGTAGCAGAGGCTGCAGTCGGCCTCCCCTGAGCCCAGCCTCGGATGGGGTCATTGGAAATGGATCAAAGGATGGAAAAAAAGAAGAAGGGCTGACCGGAAGGGAACTGAAAGTATTTGCAGCTGAGGGGAAAGCAGAAGAAAGAAAAAATTCAAGGAGACCTGGGGTATGGCCTTAAAGCAAATGCTTTCTGGGAAGGTGGGGAGCCCCTACCGCTCCCCCTCTGTGGGGGCCTAAGAAGGATCAAAGCTTCCTGGCCTTCGTGGAGTGCGGAACTGAAGTGTGCACAGCGGAGGACAGCAAAGATGAGTTTGGTTGCTGTCTGGGTGAGAGAAGGCAAGAGAAGGAAGAGAGAAGTACCATGGGAAAGTAGAAGAAGAGGAAAGGAGGGAAAGGAGAAGCACAGACAGAAGATGAGCTAAAGCAAATCTACGTAAAGACATTTCAGGTTGCATGTGCGGAAACCTGGCGATCCACTCACATAGCCTCCCCAGGGTCTTAGATCTTCCTGGGGTCCCTGTTCCTTTCCTTCAACATGCACCCACTTACCCAGGGCTCCACTTCTCAGCCACATGCCCCCAGCCCCCTCCTCCCACATTCACTGTGCCTGTTGGAATGGGACTGTCTGAGATAATGACTCTTTGGTCCCCTTGCCTACTGGCGGTTTCTCCATATTGCCAGCAGGATGGAGACAACCTGAACATTTCTTCACCTCTGTTCCTGAAGGAGGCAGCCTGACCGGGGCAGAGCGATGGACAGGATTTTGAAGCTGGTTTTGTGAGTCACTGAGAACTTAGCACCCGCCCACTTGAGGCCAAATTTGAAAGTTCAGCTTGTGAAGTGTAGGACCACGTCCAGGTACTGACTGGGGCTTTCTCCGTGGCCTTGTTCGCTCTCAGTTGCTGAGAACAGCCTTGAGTTGAGGAAATTGTGGCCGGACAAACAGCGAGGCAGTTCTGCTCCACGTCAGCCTCCAGCTGGCGGGTTGCTGCTGAGCCTGGGCGTGAGCAGAGCGTCTGGTGGGCGAGGAGCCAGCCGACTACTCCGTCCTCTGGGGATGTTGGGACAAGCTCTCGTCCTCACATTCCTCCTGCTCCTCAACGGGCATCAGGCCCAAGGTAAGGAGGCCCAGCCTGGCATGCGGTGGGGGATAGCATGGACTTGGGGCCATAGCCCCCAGGGAGATCAGAATCCACAGCCCCTGCATTATGCCATTTCCAAGGTCACCTGGAAAGGCGATGTTGAGCCGCTCCTGACAGCTCTGGCTAGGGCATACCAAACAGGCTGGCAGCGGGTTGGGAGGTCCTCGAGAAGGGGGTCTAGCCATGCCTTCAGCAATCCAGGTAGCCTGGGGCAAGGAGACTCCTTTCCTCGGGCATCAGTTTATCTTTCTGTGTAGTGGGGAGAAAGTGTCCTCTCTGCTGATTGTAAGATGGACAAAGGAAATATTCTCTAAGTGGCGTGATTACCAGCAGAGAGAAGTGGTCCCTGGGCTTGGGTTTCTATAAGGAATTTGGGTGGTTCTGGAAAGCAGAGACTGACAGATTGCTCCCTGAGGCAGGGAAGCTGAGCAAGGAGGAGGGACTTGACGGACCAACAGCCACGCTACCTGAATGGCCTGGCCCCCTTCCCCCCAGCAGTCTCCAGCAGCCCAGAGACTCCAAGAATGTGGGAATTAGTAGGGAAATGTTGGCTTGGAGCAGGAGGTGGAGAAGGGGGAGGAAGGAGACAGTATCGGGAAGAGCACATGGAAAACTCAGTTTGGGGAGATCTCGGCTGAAGGCTGCTCCCCCCTCCTCCAGCCCTGGAGTCAAGGGTGCTCTGAGATGGGAGTCTGCATTCTAGGTCAGTGGCTTTTCCAGGGGCATCAAGGTGGAGGGAGCGAGCGGAGGACACATTTTGGGTGAACAGGGAAGGAAGTGGGGCACAGGGTAGTGTTGGTCCAAGGCCTGTTAGAAGCCGGATGTAGACACACTGCGGATACTCTTGTGTCCCCCAAGGCACAATCTAGGCTCCAGAGGACTGGGGGAGACAGATGGTTATGACACATGCATTTGTATTTACAAATCTGAACAAATGCAGGCAGAGAAGAGCAGAGAGTGCTGGGACAGGGAGCAGTCAAGAAGGTCTGGATGCCAGAAGTTGAGGGGTCTGACATGATGAGCCGGTGGGATAGGAGACCGGGACTGCCCCAGGTCCATGCTTTGGGGCGCGGCGGAGCACACCCACTGCAGGGAACGTCGGGGTGGGGCGGAGGACGGACCTGGCCCCACCAGGGTGTGGGCGCGGGCTGATGGGCTTTGGCCTTGGGGAACTTCTCTCTCTTCTTGCTACTCCCTGTGTTTGTGGGGTTGGCCTGCTGTAAGCTGACGAAACTGCTGCTCCGCTTGTTTTAATTTTTAAACTTTTATTTTAAACGTTTTTAAACCTTTATTATTTTTATTGATTGATTGATTGATTGATTTTAAGGAAGATTTTATTTATTTATTTGAGAGAGATTGAGAGGGGAGAGAGAAGGAGCGGGGGAGGGGCAGAGGGAGAGGGAGGAGCAGGCTCCCTGCTGAGCAGGGGGCTGGATCCCAGCACCCTGAGATCCTGACTGGAGCCAAAGGCAGACACTTCACCGACTGAGCCACCCAGGTGTCCCATATTTTTTAAAACTTTTAAGATAAAAAGTTTACAATAATAACTTCAGAGTTCCAGAGAAGTTGCAAGTGTAGTACAAAGAATTCTTATATTTCCTTCACCCAGACTCAACAGTTGTTAACATTTTATCACATTTGCTTTATATCTCTCTGTCCCCTTATAGGTATGTGCATATAAATGGATAGTAAGTATGTTAACTAACAAAATTTAAATTAAAAAAATATTAAAAAAAGTATAATGATAATAATTTTTGCTGACCCATTTGAGAGTGAATTTTGTAGCATGATTCTTCTAAGAACATGGGCATTCCCATGTCATATTATATCATATCAGCACAATTATCAAATTTAGTAAATCTAACATTGATACAATCAAATACACAGATCATATTTAAATATTACCAATTGTTCCAATCACGTGCTTTATGGCATTCTCCCCTCCCCAGTGCAGAATCCAATCAGGATCATGTATTACATTCACTTGTTAGGTCTTTTTCTCTTATGTCTTTTATTTTTTTATTAAAAAAATTTTTTTTAAGTAAGCTTCCGCACCCAGCGTGGGGCTTGAACTCACAACTCCGAGATCAAGAGTTGCATGCTCTGTTGACTGAACCAGCCAGGCACCCTGGTTTTCTTTTGTTCTTTTTTTTTTTTAAAGATTTTATTTATTTATTTGACAGAGATCACAAGGAGACAGAGAGGCAGGCAGAAAGATAGGGGGATGCAGGCTCCCTGCTGAGCAGAGAGCCCGATGCGGGGCTCAATCCCAGGACCCTGGGGGATCATGACCGGAGCTGAAGGTAGAGGTTTTAACTATCTTTTAATCTATAACAATTTCCCAGCCTTTCTTCGTCTTTCATGACTTTGACATTTTTGTGAAGTACAAGTCAGTTGTTTTGTGGAAGGCTCCTGAATGTGGGTTTGTGTGAGGTTTGCTCATGTGAGCTGGGCTGTGTTTTTGGGCGGGGCTACAACACAAGCGATGCTGTGTCTGTTTCAGAGCCTCCCATCGGGACACATGATGGCCGTGGAAACTTTTTTTTTTTTAAACTTGGCTTGCTGGAGAATTTAATGAGCATAATATATAAGTAAGAAGCTCCTATCACTCTCGAGGTCTGCAGAACATTTTCAGAAGCCTTCTGAATGCAGAGGAAAAGCCATACGTTTCACAATGGCCTGATCTATCTTCCCTGACACCCACCCCCCATTTCTTGCACGCCCTGTGTTCCTCTCTCCTTTCTTGCCTGCCCTGCAATCAGCATCCCTGACCCACTGCTCCTGGAGCACACTGCACTCCATGGCTTTGCACCATTCTGTAATGCCTTATCTTCCTCCCCGTGGTCTTCATCTCCACTGGACACGCTCTACTGTTAACTCCTTTGTTTTCTTTTCTGTCTCCCAGGCTTCTCTTTACCTCACTGGAATGCAAGATTCTTGAGGCCTGGACATTGTTCTGTCTTGTTCACGGCTGAATCTTCAGCCTCTAGAACAGTATCTTGCACAATTAGGTCTCAGTAAATACTTGCTGAATGAATGGATGGATGGATGGATCCTTTAATCCACAGAATAAAGTGAGAGTTTATCTGTCTATTGGCGAGTTTCATTGGGAGAAGCTGTTCTAGATTTTAAGCATACTTCCTCTGTGGTCTTGAAGAAGCTAATTAACCTCTTGTTTCTCAGTTTTCCATTCATAAGGTGAAGTCAAGCGTGGTGCGTGCTCCACAGGGATGTGTGGGCATTAGGTGAGCTATGGTCTTAAAATACTCTTAGAAAGTTCTTATACCAAGTCCTCCCAAATGTCCCTCATGTTACTCAGTTCTTTGGAGGTAGAGTCTATGTTTCACTTTGTTTAGTTATCAGAGTCAAGAAGAGAGACTAATTTCTTGGCTAATTATTTGAGTCAGAGTGAGTTAGATAATCCTGAGGGGTGCCCCAGGTGGCTCAGTCGGTTAGGCATCTGCCTTTGGCTCTGGTCATGATCCCGGGGTCCTGGGATTGAAACCCGAGTTGGGTTTCCTACTCCGTGGGGAGCCTGCTTCTTCCTCTTCCTGCCCCTTCGTTCTCATGCTTTTTCTCTCTCATGAATGAATAAAATCTTAAAAAAAAAAAAAAAGAAAGAAAGAAAATCCTGGATGAGGGGCGCCCGGGTGGCTCAGTTGGTTAAGTGTCTGCCTTCAGTCCAGGTCATGATCTCCAGCTCTCTGGATCGAGCCCTGCTTCAGGCTCTCTGCTCATTGGGGAGTCTGCTTCTCCCTCTGCCTCTCTCCCTGCACTCAGCTTGTGTACTCTCTCTTGCTCACCCTCTCTCAAATAAGTAAATAAATAAATATCTTTAAAAAAAAAAAGAACATCTTGGATGAGATGATGTTTTATTTATTTTTAAAGATTTAAAGATTTTATTTTTTTATTCAAGAGAGAGAGAGAGCACAAGCAGGGGACGGGGAGAGAGAGAAGTAGGCTCCCCACTGAGCAGGGAGCCCCATCCCAGGACCCTGGGATTATGACCTGAGCTGAAAGCAGACACTTAACTGACTGAGCCACCTGGGCACCTGAGACGATGTTTTAATGGGTGACTCTTTTCTGAGGGTTTTCTCATTGTCATAACTGGGATCTTTGGGAGAATGCAAAATTTTTTAACTTAAAAGAGCAGGTATTCAAGACACTTAATCCTATTATTACATTGTACAATGTGAAATATTCTAAGGTTTTCACAGGGATATCTCCTTCTCAATTCCTAGTCCTTTCCTGATGTGCTTGAACACCTTTGGGCCAGGCCCGGGGCTAGGTGTTGAGAATTCGATGGTGAATCGGTACCTGGTCCCCTCGTCCACAGAGCTAACATCTAGCACAGGACTCAACATATAATTACAGCTGTCATGAGTGCACTACAAAGTGCCCACACAATAGATACTCAAAATGTTAACCAAGTGAATAAATTAATAGTTTTTAGGTATCTTAGAAGCCGATTTTGGGGTCAGATATGTTGAGGAGCAAGGACCTTCAAAATGCTGCCCATAGGAGTGGGCCTGGGCCCTAAATTCAGGTTTGGCTGTGGATTCAGGGGGAACCCACACTGGGGACTGAACGCACATGGCCTGCAGACAAAACGGAAGGGGAGAGCAGCATCTCATGGATTAGCTGTAAGGCACGCTTGCCGGCTGTTCTTACAGACTGTGTTGAAATGTTCACTTCTCGGGAAGGAGCCTCTGATTCTGACTGCTCTGGCTGGGATCCGGGCATGTTCCAAGAAGACTGTAGCTGTTTATCTCTTCCTCACTGCACCTCCCCTGACACCAAGTGAATGGTGAAGCTGTTGGGTACGGGGGACAGACGGGGACTCAGAGGACTCAGGGCTGCAGCATCGTCCTGGGGGGATCCAGTTCTGTAGAAATCGCTCCAAGGATTGCTAGGCCATTGTCTTCATAAATGGACATTTAAAATTTTAATTTTATTTACTTTTTATTATTTTGAGA